TAGTACACTAAAATTTACTAAAAATAGTAGTTCAAAATAATTCTTTTTTTCAATAACTTTATTAATAAAATAAAAAAATTATACTAAACTATACTTGTTTTTTTATTAGATTTTTGTATATAAAAATTTTTAAATATATAATTTTTTAGATTTTTAAATTTTTTTAACTGTACTACCAGTAGTTTTTAGACCAAAATTCTATCTATTAAAAAAAAATAAAATTATAGTATGTCTTTTTTTTATGATTAATTTTAGATTTTATATAAAGTATGTTTAATTTTTACAACCTTATTTGCTTGAACCAAACCTTTTTTAAAATTATACTTAGAATATTAAAAAATAGAAAAGTACTTATTGTTTATTAAGCTAAATTATAAGTTTATAAATGTATTAATAGAACTGATATAATAAAAATAGAGAGATATTTGTAAGCAAATTGGCTAAAAAGTAGAAAATTTATATCTATTTTCTACTTTTAATAAATCTTGATTTTTGTAAGCAATTTGTTTTTTTATATAATAAATGAAATAATTCCTTTTAAATTTATTAGTACATTTTTTTTAGAATATATATAAAGATATATATGATTAAAAGTAGAATACTTTGATTTATAAATATGTTTTGTAATTTTTTTAAATAGTTTTAAGAAATTAACTATTTTTTATTACAAACTTTTAAAAAAAATGTATAGAAATTAACAGAAATTAACAGAATAATCTACTTTTTATTGTACAAATTACTAGTAGTTTAAATCAATATAATATGATAAATATATATATTTTTGTAGTTTATATTCATAACTATTTTATTTTTAAATATTGGCTTGCACCACAATAGAGGTATAGTGGTTGTACATAACAATTAGTTCATTAGAGCACATTATATAAGGTTTTGAGGGAGCTGATGTTTTTAAAAATGTTTTTAAGACAATCCTGAGGTAATCTGTTTAGTTTATAAAGCTTTTTACTTTTCTGTTTTGATATAGTATTTGGCTTATTTTATAATTATGTTACAACCTAGATATTGCTAAATATAATAATAAAATTTATTTTTATATTAAGTAGATTAAATTCTAATAAGTTTTACATTAATTAAAAACTAAAATATTTAGCTTTCTTGTTCTTAGCTTTGCAAAATTAATACAATACTTGTCAGTAATTATGGTGCCAAAGGCATCTAAGGGTAAATATTCTTCAAGCAGATTTATTATTTATTTTTAGTATCATTTTAGTCTATATCAAATAAATCTATTTACATACTTTTGTATATTTTGTAAATACTGCTCCTTACAAATAAGCTTCCAAAATATATTTTTTTTCTATATTTGTGCTTGGAATTTGATACTATAAATTAAATTTACAAAAAAATTTACAAAAAAGATAGATATTTTAATATATATAATAATATAAAAAATTTAACTACAAGCTTAATTAAGCTCTATTATTTTTTAGATAAAAGAAAAGGATAGTTCTAGATCTGTTAAGTCAATTTTTTTATTAGTTATTATTATAAGCTGAATAAAAAAATTAAACCATCTATTTGAAATTTAATATTATAAAATATGTACAAACTTAAAATTTAATACTATAAATACAGAAATCAAATGCAATTTTGCACAAAACTTCAAATTCAAAAAATTTTGCAAAAATACAGATCTTTGTAAATTGTACTTATTTAATTTTCCTGACGTGGTAAAGAATTGGAACTGCAAAAAAAACTAACAATTAAATAAACTTTTACCAAAAGCATGTTTGCCTGAAAACCCACGAGCTTAGATCCAGAAAACCGCACAATCTTGTTGATCACAACAAAAATCAAAGCGTTCAGAAAAGGAATGTATCAGAATGTTGTGTAAAATTTAGAAATAAAAAAATTAAATAAACTTTCTCCAAAGCATGTTCACCTGAAAAACAACAACTTTAGAGTAAGTGGCACATTCTTTGTTAATCGTGGCAAAGCCAAAACATTCAAAAAAATGTTATCGTGTTGCTCGAAAAAAATTTATAGAGGTCAACAGGATGTTTGGACAACTTTATATAATTCTTGTATGGTTTTAAAGGTTTCCATGTAAAAGTCTCTAAAATAACTTATCTAAGTTAATCCATTAAATCCGGTGTTACGTTCAGTGGGAGAGCTTTTGGCAATAAATGTCAGTTTAGCTTCGATCATAAACAAAGTATTATGAATTCGATGGTAGTATTTAGTAATTTGTATAAGGTTGTAAGATTACCGAAATGAATCACGTGGTCAAGCATTTATTACATATCGAAGATCAATAGTCAAATAGTTTAATTTGTAGTATAAAACTAACTTTCTAATTGCAGGTTAAAGGGTTTCACTTAAATACAATAAAATTTTGAACAGTAGAATACACCCGAGTATATCTGCAATTAATAATACTGCGAGCGATAATTCCTCCCTTTTCCAGCTAAAACCTAGTCCATTTATACCTTTCTACCGATTCTGGGGGTTTAATTCATCGCTTGGGGTTTCAATCCCTCGCTTGGTGTTTCAATCCCTCGCTTAGGTTTTAATCCCTCGCTTGGGGTTTAATCCCCAAGTACGCCACAATAATCTTTACCCAAATAAGAAATACATAAAAATAAAAGTAGAATACTAAGCTAAAAAAGAAATAAATGGGAAATTTGAGCACGATACCGGTTTTAATGACTATATTCGGATTTAAGGGGATTCAGGTATTAACTCTAACTGGTATACGATCCAACACGAGCCATAAATCCGGGCCAATTCGAGCCTCTTACGTACTAAACCCGGACTTGATCCGTGCCGTCCATTCCGCGCCAAACCATAACATTACATTTTTCTTAGAGCTTTTGTAAAGTTTTGAGTGAAAATACCAATGGTGATAAGTCCCTAGACAATGCCTTTTTATACCGATATATTGTAAATATTTATATATATAGTTATAAAGAACTTTATTATTGCCGGGTGATAGTTAAAAAGTCCTGTTTAGAGACTTTTCTCTCACCCAGTATATGGGTCTTTACTAGGAAAATCACCCTTCGGGATTTCCGATCGGCCTAATTCGGAAAAACTTAAACCAGAATACCAGTTCTTATTCATGCATAAATTATTTTTTTACTTTACTGATTCGGTAGTTTATTTAATAAACTATCGAATTAATAAAGCAAAAGGTGATTTACATATGAATAAGAACCGATATTCTGGCCTAAGCTTTTCCGAATTAGCCCGACCCGAAGGGTGATTTTCCTAGCAAAGATCCCATATTACATTAATTTTGGTTCTATATTTCTGTAAAATCAAATAAAAAAAATGTTATAGAATTTGGTTGGGCAGTTACTGAGACATTTTCGCTCAAAGCCTTGTAAAAACACAAAATGCCTACCAAAATAATAGATGCAGAAAAATTTTGTAAAACATTGACTTTGAACGAGGTTATCTCGCAACCAACTAACCAAATTCAATGAAATTTTTTTTTTTTTAATTCTACAAAAATGTAAAATTAAAATAAAAGAAAGTTTATTGAATTTGGTTGGGTGTCGTCGAGATCTTGGAAAAATTCAAACTACCTGTAATATATGCAGAAAAACTTCGGAGAAGATATCTTGGCGACCATCCAACCAAAATCGATTCACTTTTTTGTTTTTTTTTTTATTTGGTTCTACTGAACCATAGAATCAAGCCAAATGTTCATAGAATTTAATTGAATGATTGCCGAGAAATTTTTGCTCAAAGTCTTGGAAAAGTTCAAAACACCTATCAAAACAATAGACGAAGAAAATATTTGTAAAACTTTGAGCGAAAGATATCTCCGCAATCGGACAACTAAATTCAATGAAATTTTTTTTTATTTTGATCTACAGTTCTGTAGAATTAAATTAAAAAATTTCCAAATTTGGTTTGAGGTTTTCTAGTCAAATTTCAGCATATATTATTTTGATAAGTGTTTGAAATTTGAGCGAAGAAATCTCGGCAATCATTCAACAAAATTCGATGAACTTTTATTTATCTTGATTATTCATTTCTATAGAACTAAAATAAAAAATACATGGTGTTGTCGAGGTATCTTCACTTAGAACTTCACAAAAATTAATTGTAACGTTAAAAAAACACCCAATCAAATTTTGTGTAACAGGGATAATTTTGGAGGCTCGCAGCACCCATATAACGTTAGTTTCAACGCATAAAATTTAAATTTTAAATTTTGAATGTGTTACAGCATTCAAATAATGACCACTAAAATTCTTTCGGTACTGCCTATTTCATCGACGACGTCATTTCATTTAGCCTACATCACATAAAGTTAGGATTACTGTAGCCGCAAGTATATACGTAATTTTACAGCTGTTTTCATAAATTTTGGGACAACTGGAAATTTGCTCGTTTCCCAAAATATCATCTATCTCACGCTTAGAATCACTAATATTTCAGACACTACAGCGAAGTAGTTTCTGAAAGGTTAGGTAATTCCTATAACGAGATCGATCAGATTTAGGCAAACGAGCAAATATTTAGTTGCCCCAGAATTTATGAATGCATCAATAATAAAATTGCCACTTGGCTAAATTAGCTGTCAATGACCGCAGTTTCTCATGCTTGATAAAATTATCATATGATATTTCATTATTAAGGTTGTGTAAAAACTTTTTCATGCGTCATTACCAATTTAAAATTAGAAACTATACAGCTATGTAAACTACTGTAATACTGAGTTAATACTTCCATAGATATCGTTGTTCGTAAAGATTATTGATAAATTCTTGGCTGAAAAAGCATTGAACGCCAAATATTCGCGACACTTGGCGAAGATTAAAATATTTGACTAATGCATAAAATGGGATTTATATTTAATGCTAGTTCAAAAATTCTTTATATAAGCGGCCTTCAGTCCTCCACAAATAACTCTTCGTTAGCTCTTCGTCTAATAACAAATTCACTACTATTATTGAATTATTTTCTCTAAGATCAAATTCAAAGTTTAAATTTTAAAAAAGAGTTTTTCCAAATTTTTTCCAACCATGAAGTTTAACCTTGCTACAGTATGCTTGACTTTTCTCGTTGCTACTACGTTCGCAATTCCAAATCCAAAAGGTATAATTTTATAGCATTAATATTGACTATACTTATTATTATCACATATATTCAACTTACTTATCATATTATTACGTTTGAAAAGGCACCATCAAGGACTTAGGTAATATTCGTATATTTTTTGCATGACAAGTTATTTATATTTTTATACAAATTATTGAGTTATTTTAATAGATTTGGCCGAACGCAATCATAGACCTGGAAAGCAGGAAGAAGGAAAGCACGGAGAAAAACATAAAGAAAAACTTGGGGGAGAAAAATATGTAGTGAAGCCTCATAAAAAAGAAGAAAAGAAAGATGGAATGAAGCCTCATAAGAAAGAAGAAAGGAAAGATCATAAGGGAGAAGAAAAGAAAGATCATATGAAAGAAGGAAAGAAAGATCATATGAAAGAAGGAAAGGAAGATCATATTAAAGAAGGAAACAAAGATCATATGAAAGAAGGAAACAGAGATAATATGAAAGAAGGAAACCAAGATCATATAAAATATCATATGAAAGAAGAAAAGAACGGACATATGAAGGATCATATGAAAAACGAAAAGAAAAAAGACGAAGATTGTAAAGATGAAAGAAAGAATGAAAAAGGAGGATTAAATAAAGAAGAAAAGAAAGATCCTATGAAAAAAGGAAGGAAAGATCCTAAGAAAGAAGAAAAGAAAGTTCATAAGAAAGATCATAAAAAAGAAGAAAAGAAAGATCATAAAAAAGAAGAAAAGAAAGATCATAAAAAAGAAGAAAAGAAAGTTCATAAGAAAGAAGGAAAGAATGATCCTATGAAAGAAGAAAATAAAGACGTTCATAAAAAAGTTCCTAAAGGCCATAAGAAAGAAGAAAACAAGGAACGCAGAGAAATAAAGAAAGAAGGAAGGAAAGATCATAAGAAAGAAGGAAAGAAAGATCATAGGAAAGAAGGAAAGAAAGTTCATAAGAAAGAAGGAAAGAAAGATCATAAGAAAGAAGGAAAGAAAGATCATAAGAAAGAAGGAAAGAAAGATCATAAGAAAGAAGAAAAAAAATACTATAAGTAAAGGATTAAGTGAGTATAGACGATAAAGGCTTAAGATAAATATTACTAAATATAAAGCTTTGATCAAATATAATCTAAGATCTCAATAGAAATCATTAATATTCGAGTATAGACAAGAATTTTTTTACTTCCTTAATTATAAATCTAATAAATTAAATTACCTATGTATTAGTTTAAGACATAATAAATTGTTTATTCAAATCCTCGTGTTTTAATCTCATTGATTGTATATTAAGTTATTACAAATTCTGCACTACCATTGAAAACTCTAAATCCATGAATAGTAAACCGACTTTTCAATTTCAAAAAAGGAGTCCTTGGACCCTGCAGTAAGGAGGCATCCATAATTTACGTTAAACTAGTACTGTATTGTATAGAAATAGAAAAAATTTCTACAACAATACCGTTTTTAACGTAAATTATGGATGCCGCCTAATATTCACAATAATAGAAATATCCATGTATAGTATAATAATATAGAGTTATTGGATGCGAAGCAGCCAATAACGGAAAGTACACTAAATCAAACTTGGTTTGTAAAACTAGTTAGGTAAATAATTCTGGAACGTATTTGGAAAGTTTGAGCAATTTTCGTGCTAACTCGTAGTTAATTTGTTCAAGTTTTATTCGAGCTATTCGAGCCTTAAAAGTTAAATTACTATTTCTAAAGGAAATATTACATGATAAAGACGAGTTAATTCGAACAGTGAGTGGTGAGTCCAATTGCTAGTACAGAAAATTGGGTGGCATCATATTTTAAAAAAGAGTATAAAATCACCATGACTTTGGAAAATTAGGGTCGATAGACTGATAATAAATAAAATAACATGCCCTATAGGGTGTATTTGAAAAGGTTTAGCAGTAATTATAAATGAAATATGTCACTATTTCACGCGATTTATCTAAATGATATTAAAAGTTTTTGGAATTTTCTGAATTGCAACATACAGTAAAAAAAAAAAAAAATTGTAAGTTCAAACTATTTTATTATGAAATACTATTTTTTATACACTTAAATGGCGAACTATCTCCTGAATTTTGATAATGAACAAAGCATAGGTTATAATAGTTTTTTTCTTTATAGTGTTTGTGTACCTAATTATATCTTAGGGTTATTAATATAAAAATTAGCTCTAACGAACTTAATTGAAACTTTATTAATTATATATATTGTAGGTACAGTAGATTTGGAATTCTGTAGATTCGAAATCTATTTATCGTATAAGCGCAAAAGGTACGTTCACAGGCATTATTTTGAAAATGGGCCCTCCAAAAATAGTACAGTCTACTCTGGATATAATTAACATCTTCATAATAAGCCCATTTTATAACAAACCTTTTAAAAAATTATTAATTTATTAAAAAGTTCGGTATAAAACATAGTAAAGAGCTTACTGTAAGAGCGGTCAGTCTGTTATATTTCAAAAATTGAGCCATAAACGTCCCGAATAAACACAGATATAATATAAACATAATTATTATAACAAAGTATGCGCAGGTGCTAGCATAATAAAACCCAGATGCTGATGAATAGTAAAAAAAAAAAGCCAACTGTAATTTGGCGGTAGCTTTGCAAAGGGATCCCAGTTAGGAGGCAACCAATTACGGGCTATAATACGGGATTATATAAGAAATATATTAACAGCAAAGGTATTTAAAAGGCCATGTTCACAAAAGTGTTCATTTAGATGTTCGGGTAGATGTTCATGAAGTTTAAAAAAGTAAGTAAAGTTATAATAAATATGCATTTATTTTAGCATTTATGAGGACTTTAGCTTCAATTTTAAATTATTTCTCGGTTTATTATTTATATCTATTACTATTTTTCGCACTTGTCCTGATCTCAAATCAGGTCAATCCGGAGTATTTACATTATATTTCTTTTTACCTATACTTCTTTTTTTCTTTTTTTTTAATGATATACCAAATTTTTATTTTAAAACAAAGTATAAAAGTTGCTGGCTAATAAAAAAAGAGAGTTGAGGAAAATGAAAGTACGCAGTATTGTGACTGCACCAAAATTAAAGGGTTATCTGATTTACAATGGAGTCTACACAATTTGCTGAGTTGAGTACGTTGATAATTTTTGTTGAGTACGTC